AATTTTTTCTAATTAAAAAAAAAAATTACCTTTTGGTAATTGAAACAAATTCTAGAAGTAGACGCGATAGTAGAAAAAATTGTCACTTTAATGGACAATTTTCATAAAAAGCGAAGTCAAACGGACACCAAACTTTCAACATTTTTCAGGTGAAAAATTATGTCAATCAAACACAATTAATTACACTTCTCAGTAAAACATTTTCTTTCCACTCATTTTCCACATTTGCAATCAAATGAATCCTAAGACTTTGCATATATGATAATTAAAATTTGCAGTTCTAAATGGATTAAAGTATAATTAATATAGGCAAAATACAAATGAAAATGATGACAAAATAAAAAGTAAGTCTCATATTCAAAGTATAATAAAATTAAACAAAATAAATAATGTTGTAACTATAGGGCCGGCCCTAGGAGGCCGAAGCCAACTAGACAATGGCCGTCTAGGGCACTCAAATGTTGCCCAAATACATTATTAATCTCTCGAAATCTTGAATTTATTAAAAGGTTCTCCAATCAATATCATTAGATTTTGGTTTGTTTCTCATCATGAAATAATCCAAGCTCTTCACACTATCTTCTAAAAAAATATATTTCCCGATTAATAATTTTAGAGATTGTTATTTACACTCTGATAATATTTTTCTATTAACGAGATATTATGCTAAAAATTATATTATCCCAGTTTTTCGAGTTGTTGAGATAATTTTTTCCCTACTCTTATCTTTTGAATTATAATGAGTCTTCGCTTAAAATATAGATATATAACTATTTGAATATTTAAATATTTTAACGATCGTAAAATAATTTACGTTTCAATGTCTCATAAAATGAGTAGCCGAATGCCTAGCCCGGTGTAAATTTTAAGTTGAATTTAACGTATTCATATTTGAATATTCTTGTGATGTACTTTGCTAACAAGTAAATATATGAATGGAACCTCAGTTTCCTAGAATGCACCCCACAATTTTAATATTGATGTCGTGTCGTCTATTCTATGGAGGATGATCGGTCAACGTTGTCTGCCTAAAAAATTATGACCTACTAATTACGAGGATTAAAAAGAATGTTCGGCATTTCAGTTACGTGTCTATTTTTTTAGGGGTTGTTTGATGGAGATTAAAATTATATTTTTAGTTGATTTTGATAAAAGTTGATGTAATGTATGTTGAAAAGTTGTGGGACCAATGAAATATGTGATTAATATTGATTATTTGACTTTAACTTAAATTAAAATTTAATTTTAATCAATACCAAACAGGGGCTTAAACTAGAAAAACAAAAGTCGAAGCACTCTCAAATAATATCATGGAGGAATAGTAGTAAGGTCTTTAACCTATATATGGATATAAGTTGAAATTTATGCCTTCTACACAAATATTCTTTGAACTGGAATTGACAAATCGTAACTTTTGTTGGAATTAGGACAGGAAATATTCAAATATGTCTATTAAGCAGTCACGTAATTGATACATTATGAGAGGCTTTAATTAGAAAGAAGACTACGATTAAAAAATAAATTATAATTAATTAAATAAAGATATCTGTTTTAGAAAAAGTAGCTTTGAAAGTCAGGAACGCGTGAAGAAGAAGAAAGGGAGGAGGCAACGACTGAGCAGAATTGGTACCAAATATATTTTTAACTTTTCTTTGGCCACTCTTTTCTTTTTTATTTGTTTTATAATTGAAACAACATTTTTTTTTTGAATTATGCTATGCGTACAAATTATGTTCATAAACTTGATTTACAAATTATGCATTGGCAACATTCACGTCAATCATTTCAAAAATAGTGTATGAAATCAATGAAAATCAACTGTCTAAATCTTGTCAACACTTATTTTGTAAAGTTTAACAACTAGATTAATTGATTTGTTTATCAATTACATGATTTTTTAAAAGACATAATTTTAGCATTATAAAAAAAATATAAATAGTTGAAAATTCAAATCTTGCTGAAAATTAGTTAAGAATCCACGTATTATTTAACTTTCTTCTTTAAGTACGATTCTATTTCATTGCCTTATTCTAAGCGCTTGTTTGAGCACCATTTTTTTTTTTTTTTTTTTAAAATTTTTTTTTAAAAAAAAAATTTAAGAAAAAATTTTTTTAAATAAAATATTTTTAAAATAAAAAAAATTTTTTTTTTTTTTTTTTAACNATAGTATTTTGATGGAAAATATGTGGTTAAAAAATAAGAAAAAATTTTGAATTTGCATGTAATACTATTTTATTGAAGAATGTGTAAGTAAAAATAAGAGAAAAAAATATACTTTGAAAATAATGGGGGACCAAACAAAGGAAATATTAAAGGAAAAATTCACAACTCAGATATTAATTATGACCAATTCAATCTCCAGGTTTTAATTTTTATGTTTCAAAATTCAAAACTCGAAATATAAATAAATAATTAAAATATTTTATTAATTAAACATATTAAAGTCACAATTACGTACTTATATGTCACAACTTACTTATTGGTTACATATTATCAAATTAATTGGTAACAAATTATTTTACGATTACAAATCAAAAAAATTATAGATCATAGTTTATTTCTCGGTGACAAATTTTCAAATTAGTTGATTACAAATTATTTTTCACTCACAAATCATATGATTTTTAAGTCACAGTTAAATGGTTGGTCACAAAGAACCAAATAGTTCATCACAAATTAATCAAATAGTTGATCACATACACCAAACACCCCACTCTCACCTCCAATTTCGATCCACCGCAAATACTTGATCACAAATCAATCAAATAGTTGGTTACAAACACCTAAATAATTGGTCACGAACTCTCTTCTTCCCACACCACCACCACCACCACCGCTGCCACTACCACCAACATCAACTACACCACTACCAACAACACTGACATCAACAACCGATACCGCCACCGCCAACAAAAATTACCCCAACACCAAGACATGAAAAACCACCACCACTCAAAAAACAATAAACCCAACAAAAACCACAACCATGGCACCACTGTCATAGATAAGGTACGATAGATCACGTCATACTACCACCTCAGACAACCCGATTCACTTTCACATACTCACCTTAGCAAACACCAACTCCGCCTCCCGATTTACCTCGGTGAACACGAAATTCGTGGCTCGATTCACCTCCACAGATTCATCGTAAGTCGCCTCCAAACTCGACAACTCCACTATCTCAGTCAACTCCTCATGTGCCGACACAGTTGAAGCCTCCCTACTTTCCATCAAAACATCCTCTGATTGTACGGACCATGGCGTCACCGTCGAGGAAGATACGAGCGACATGGTGGGGCTAGGCAGAAAGTGTGGCTTCTCCCCGTGCCGCACAGTAGCTTCTCACACGCATTTAAGCTGCACAATGCTATGAAGTGGTGGTCTACGATGGTGATGTGATTCATGTGTAAAGGAGAGGGTAGAGAGTGACGAGCGAGGAAGAGCGTTGCGCTGACAATTGGAGAACTGTGCCGACGATGGTGGCAATGGTGACTGTGTTGGTGGTGAGGTGATATTGTAAAGAGAGAGGAGAGATATAAATGATGGAGAGGGAGGAAAAGAGGAGGGGGAAATGATGTGAAGGTTTTGGAGTGCGGATTGGATGGGGGTGGGGTAGGTAAACTAATTTAATTTTATATTATTATTATTAAGTTGAATTATTACCCGATTTTTGATTAAATAAATCTCACACATTATTTTGAATTTGAAAACTCGTTTTATGTAATTTTCTCTTATATTAATCATATCCCCACGGTCCAACCAACTCCAAATCATTCCAGGTTGTCCAATTAAAATAAGTAACTTCATAAACAAATGTCACAAATTCACATACCCTTTAAAAGTTGATTTCACATATGATCACACTGAAAAGTTCAATTGAAATTTCAAATCGGTCACAATTTTTTTTTTGTCACATACTAAGTTATTAAATTCAAATAATATTACATAATTATTTACTTTTTTAGCTCGTCATCAAAACATCGACTAATAATCATCGTATCATCAAATAAAACACAAAATCATTTAAAATCACTTCTTTTAATCCTAAATTTTTTTCATCATTAATCAACAGTAAATGTCACGATTGGACACTAGTTGGAAGGGATCAATTGCCTTAATGATCGTTAATATAAGTGGAGGTTTAACAGTTAATAAGTCAGGCATGGCGTTAATTAGGATGATGAAATAACCAATTATGTAATATTTTTTAAAATTAGTGACTAAATGAGTCAAAAATATACCTCAGTGACCAACTCAAAATTTTCTTGAACTTCAAGACCGTTAAGTGAAATAAATTCTGCTTATAAATATACATATACTACCCAACCAAAACGCAAAGAACATCACTAACAAACAGGAGCAGAAATATCTGACCCTGACCAACACCAGTAAAAAACCCAGATCAGAAAATGACTTCCTCCACCAAATCCGTCTTCACCACGGCGGCGATCATAGTGGCGCTGCTAGTGATCACCACCAGAACGGCGGAGGGGCAGCAGGCAGATTGTGCTTCAAAGTTAATCCCATGTGCCAGTTACTTAAATTCCACAAATCCAGCACCCGTATGCTGTAATGCAATCAGAGAAGTG